ACAATACCAGCGTGCTCCTAATAACCAGAGAGAGACTGTGACAACCAACAAACCTACGTAACTCATGTAAGAGTAAATGAAACACAAAAATTAGCATGTGAAATAAATATTGAATACGTCTAAAGAATAAGAAGAGAATACAAAGCATCTGAAATATTAACATGCATTAATACATTAAAACATGGTAAAAGAACTAATGCATTTAAAAATCTTACCTTTTTAGTTTTGCAGGGAACAGCATAAACAGCATTGCTGCTAAAGCTTCCTTCCCTTTTGTCATTACTCTGACAGCTGGACTCTGCCTCTTTATCAGCATCTGAAAGATATGTCTCCATGTCCTCATCTTCACCATAATTGCCTGATATTTCCAGGGACTGTAGAGGAGATCCGTCACAACCATCAAGTTTCCAGTTAGATCTGCAAAAAGCAATTTAATGTCTGTTTCAGCACTGCCAATTCTTCAAAAAAATCCCACACTAGCAAAGTAGAACCATCAGTCTTAAAATATACACAAGTCCAAAGAGACAGATATCTAAGCTTCTGTTAGCTGTAAACAAGGAATGTAGTTGTCTTGCTTTCGAGACAAGTTTCAGGAGAAAACACCCTAGAATGAGCATTTCCTCTAAAGAGAAAGGGCTTCAATTACCCCCTTTTCTTCCGCCAATGAGAGAAACAGATACCAGGGGGTGAAAGTTAAAAAACCCTGTTTATTAACAAAAAAATAAGGGTGCCTGCGAGGCACAGAACCAGAGGGAAAGAAAAAAAAAAAAAGAACAAATGCTAAATATTGAAATTGTGTTGCCTTACCCCCCAAACCCCGCACCAGCCTGGGCTGCCCCTCCCCTCGGTGCAGTTCTGGCTGCAGCCAGCAGGGGCGCTGCTGGCTCCCGGCCGGCAGCGCGGGTGCCGTGACTCCTCCGCGCTGCAGGGGGCGCTGTGGCGCCAGTCCGGCCGGCTCTCCCAGACAACGGCGGGCACAGCCGGCACAGGGGATGGAGAAGGCGCCTCCATTACAAACTCACAGCCGGTCCCGTGCCTCTCTGGGTAGCGAAAGGGGCTCTAGCAGGAAACCTCAGAGCAGCAAGCCGGAGCAGCACGGTGGGCTCCCCCGGGACAGCAAGCAAGAGGCAGCAGAAACTCTGCAGTTTTTTACCTCCTGGAAGGGAGGGGCGAAACAGCTCCGGTGTAGGAAAAAACCCCGGAGCAGCAGCCGGGGCACCGCGGAGGGGCCGGGCAGGAGCAGCCCTGCTCCCACACACGGCAGAGAGACTCCCCGGGAGTGCCAGCGGCGCTGGCTGGTCCCTGGGCTGTGCGGAGGCTGGGGCAGTCCCAGCGGGAAGCAGGGTGTTCCCAGTCCTGGTGGGCACGCACTGGCTCTGGCCTTGCCGAGAGCGGAGCAGCAAAAGAGGCCAAGCTGGCAAGCTCAGTCACAGTGCCAAAGCAAAAATAACAGTAATAAAAAACAGCCAAAAAAAACCCAACCAAACAAAAAAAAAACCCCAAAGAAACAAAACAATGCAAAACAAAAAACCAAACCAAAACAAAAAAAACACCAACAAAACACAACCAAAAAAATCCAACCAACCAAAACAAACAAACAAACAAACAAAAACTAACAAAACCACAAAGAGCAGCAGGCAAAACCCACAGCAACAGCAGGATCCCTGGTCAGTGTGTCCAGTGGAACAAGCCCAGGCCCCTCACCCTGCCCCAAACTCCCTCCGGACACCCCGGCTCAGCTCCATTCTTCTTGACAGCCCCAGAGCCAGGGAGCGTGGGGGCTGAAGCAGGGACAGCAGCCACCCTGGGCACAAACTAGACCAAACAGAACAAAAACCCCCAAATGGTATGGGATAATAAACCATCTCCAAGACAGTGTCTATCTGTATACTCTAAAATAGACAATTAACACTGGTACCACCTTTTCCTCTCTATCTTAAAATGACAGGTTAGAGATAGAAGATTCCTAATTCTACCAAAAAGAGAGTTTGAAATGGTCATTTTAGCACAAAGGAAATACCTTACATGTAATTCAAGTGATTCCTCAGCTCATCACATTCTGTAAAATTGATCATCATTTGACAGAAATAGTGTGTGATTTTAGTTATGACTGTTGTACAATCAAAATCTGCCTCTCTGAAGACTGTATGTGTGACACCACTTTTTACAAGAAATGGAATAAGGATTGTTAGACACTTCAGACTGAATTTATGATATGGTAGGAAAAAAGAAAGTAGCTGTAACAGCAGGAGTCTGCTGTCAGTCTTTGGTAAAAGTGATCATTGAGAGATTCCAAGGTATCATTTATCACCACAGTTTAAGATATCAAACCAGAAGGCATACAGTACCCTATTCTGAGCTCTGTGACTGTTGCATATGGCTCAAAACATTCTTGTTCCAAGTAGGTGGAGTCACTTTCAGAAAGGGATCTCTGCCGAGGCTGAGGAATAGCAACAGTGCGCCCTGTTAGTGTTGTTGCAAGGATTGCTGCTGCTAGAGCAGACCTGGAAGGAAACAGAATAAAGCAATGAAGCAATAATGCTTTCTCTGTGCTCCACATTTTATAACTTTCCCTTTGCAAAATGTCTTCGCTATTTAATCAAATCAAAATGTTCCCAGTTAACAAGCATAAATCCCCCTGAATGCTGTGGGACTGGTTACAAACTATAACCTCCCAAAGAAAAGCACAAAACAGCTTGCTGCTGTAATGCAGCTATCCAAGAGTAAGGCACAATATCTACCGTTTCTCCCAAACCACATGCATGAAAATCATGGAATATACCAAGTTACTTTTCCAAAATTCACATCAATAATTTACAGTATTTAGCATTCACTTTAGCCATAACAATACTACCTGGTGTTGTGTTGAAAAGGTCTTCCATGTCCTGCTATTTTGTCTCCCTTATTCCCTACTCTAAACCTTTTACTGATGATTCTGAAGTTGTTAATAAATGTTGGCACACTGCAAACCAGGACAAGCAAACAGAAGTGCCTATTTGTGTGATGCTGTGGAGTACAGAGAAGGGTATGATGAAAAGGAAAAATAAGTAGTAAGTAAGATTAAAGCAGTGAAATGCTGAGAACTGTAAAATGAATGACAAGAACTTGAGGCCAAAAAGGAAGAAGAAATTAACTAGAAATGTTACAGACACTAAAAAGGCCACAGAAAACAACCAGAATGCAGAAAAAAACAGAATAAAAACTGTAAGAAACTACAACTTAAAAGAAAAAGAATTTGCATTTTTCCAATCCAGTGTGCTGTTCCATGCTAGTTTTTTAAGTCCCTGGTATGGTAGCAAGGTTTAATTTTTGTTTTTCTAATGAGCTAACATTTCCTGACTCACAGCACTTGTGCTGCTGCAGTCCTACACTCCACTGTAGCAGCCAAATTAAAAATTCCACTAACTTTAAACAGTCCATTTGTCTCTAATTGACTCAGACAAGTCACATAACAGTTACTGTCTTGAATATTTACCATGCTTAGGAGTGGGGAAAAAAGTTCAGAGTGAGAAACTTCCCCCCTTAAATATATATTCTTTTTATGAAAAGATTTGTAAATATTGTAAAGACATGCAATTCTTCTAATCAGATTTTTCTAGTATGCTACAATACCTGACGAAACAACAAAAATATATAAAAAAATGAAAAAATAATTTTAAAAAACCCCAAAAACCAACACATACCTGGGCCTTTCTGGAGAAGGGTTTGGACTACGAGGGGGAGGGGTGCGGGGAACTGCAGGTTTAGGAGCTATGGTAGCAGCAGGGACCAGGCCATGAGCTATATGTTTCTAAATGATGTAAAATAAAATTAGTTGACAATGACTTTAAGGATTACAATGAGAAAAAACACAGAACTGAACGTGCACAGAAAGTAACAATGAAAAATAATATAAAAAGGAAGAACAATTACATGCAATTAATGTAAACAGAAGACCTGAAATGGCATTTCATTCCCCTTAAAGTCAGAACACCATGTAAAGCTGGCAAGTTCATTTAACATTTATGAACACCTGCTCTTGAAGGTTAGAAATGTAATTTACATGAGACCCATGAATGTACATTTTCTATCTACTATATCACAATTTGCAAAACCAGAATTTTAACTTACTCATCTTTTCCCTATATATATATATACAAGAAAAACTGGACTAGAAAATACCTTTTTTCAAAATACCTGAATGCTGCTTCAGACTAACAGTATTAGTCCCTTTCTTCTACAGTTTGTCATTCCTCAGTCATAGCAGTATGAGATGGAAAAAACAAAACCCTACCACTAAGTCTTGCAGTCAAAGGTTCAACCATAATTATAAAGAAACAAAAAAAAAACCCAATAATTTTTTTTCATCAGCAAGCACAGTAATTTTTTTTAAAGATGGTATAACATTAAATACCACGTCAGAAAACTGGGACCAGAGTTCCTACAAAAGTACTGTGAAGGAAACTGTATACTGGTTGGAAGGGAGCTCTGGAGATTGTCCAGCTCAAGTTTCTGCTCAAAGCTGGGTCAACCACGAGAGGGTTGCTTGGTGTCCTGTCCAGTCATGTCTTGTGCATCTCCAACCTGGACCGGTGCTGAACCACCTCACAGTATTTTATTATTATGTTTAACTTGAATTGTCTGTGCTTGAGCTTGTGCTCATTACCTCTTATCCTCTCTCTAGGCAGCACAAAATACTATGCCATAATAAATCCATCACCTTTGGGCAGATGTTACTTTTCTATGGAGTGAAACAGGCTAAGCTCCTGCTATTTCTGCTACAGATCTTTTTTCCCCAAATTATTCTTGAATTCACTTCTCCGACAGGAGAATTAAGATACAAGCTGGGAAATATTTCTGGTTTTACATGAAGTCACATCAAAGAATTCAACGGTGCATTTTTACTCAGTCATGCAAACACCCTGCTCCCTAATTCTGCATGTGTGTCTGGCATGCACCATTTCTTTTGTTACAGCTGCTGACTGTAGGACACGACTATGACTGACCCTACTAAGACTGCCAGGGAACACTGCTGAAGTGAAGTCATCCCACGGTAAAACTATGACAACAACAGAAGATCAATACTCTCACTGCAGTAATAAACAAAAATTCAGCTGGTGCAAGTGCGTTGGAAGAGCACACCGCACAGCTGCTGACAACCGTACAGCCCTTGTGTGCTTTGGGCCGCCGATCAGAACCTGGACCAGTTCACAGCACCGAACGTGCTGCGAGGATCGCCCCGGAGCGAGCGAGTGCACTGCCAGCCCGGGCCAGAGGGGAGGGGAGGGGAAGAGGAAGGGAAGCTCGGCGTTCCTGAAAAGCCGAGCAGGCCCGGGACTGAAGGAAAGGAAAGCACCCGCCCGCAGACACCATTTTTTGTCTTGGCTTGGGCTTGATTTTTCTCCCCGATTCTCACTTTAAAGCGCTCAGAGATCACCGGCATCAGCCGCAGAAACCACCCCTCGTCCCAGCCGCGCACTGAACCCCGCGTCCCGCTGTCCCCGCTCACGGTAAGGGAGCTCCGCGCTAGGCACGGCGATACTCACGAAGGGGCCCCTCCGGCCTCTCCTGAACAGGAACGCCATCAGGACGGGACGGCTCCAGCCACCGCCTCACGGCCGCTTCCCCGCCGCGTCGGACGCTTCGCCTTCGCGACCCGCCTGGAAACAAAGGCACGGCGGATTTGCTGCGGGCCCGCGCTCCTCCAGTCAGCACGGGCCTTACTCAGCCTCGCTCGGCCGTAGCAACCGCTCCGGGTGGGGCCCGCCTTCCGCTCCTCCGCCCTCCGCTCCTCCTCCGCCCGCGGCCTGCGGAGTTCCCGCGGCAGCTTCCCGGCCCCGCTGCCCGGCGGGCCCTTGGCTGTCGCGAGCGGCTCCTCCGGGCCGGGCCGCGCCGCGCCCGTGCGGCCTCTCCCCGCTCCCGAGGGGGCTCCGCCGTGGGATGCGTTTCGGTGTGCGTGTTTGCGGTGCTACCGGCTTGTCCGTGGTGCCTTTTAGATCATGCCTTAGCTCCAAGGCTCGTTAAAGTCAGAGCACCGCGTAAAGCTGGCAAACCTGAACATAATCTCTCCCACCGTGTAATAATTGGTCTGGAGACTTCCACCAGCTGAGGGATGGAGGGGCAGATGGAGTTGGATTTGTAATTCAGGAAGATTTCCTCCCAGCAAGCTGGATGAAGGTATGGAAAAGGCGATGTGGTTTTTTTTTCATCATCTGTGTGTTTTAATTCAGGCGTTTTTTAGGCTGATTGGTAGAGCTGAAAGTGGAATTTGCAAGGTAACACAACAGCCTGTGTTAAAGTGAACAGAATTGCTGGCCGATTCATCTTAGCTGCAAGGAAGCTTGAGGAAGGAGGTCGTGTCTCTTCCAGAATATTACAGCCTAAGTTTAGGTTTAAAATTTGATTAAATTAATTATTATTAAAATTTTAAAGCTTGGAACAGGTTTGTAAAATGTGTCGCTACTTTTCCACTTTCCTTTCTAGGGTTGATACGTTCACCTTAGCTGTAAGGAAGCTTGAGGAAGGAGATCGTGTCTCTTCCAGAATATTACAGCCTAAGTTTAGGTTTAAAATTTGATTAAATTAATTATTATTAAAATTTTAAAGCTTGGAACAGGTTTGTAAAATGTGTCGCTACTTTTCCACTTTCCTTTCTAGGGTGTAACTGCTAGTGAAGGAGGATTTTAAAGGAGGTCTGATGACAACCAAAGCAAAGTCTCCTGTGACAGCAGGATCTATAGTCGTCCCTTTCGGGCATGTGATTGGAAATGAGAAGTGGAGAGGGTCAGAGCTAGCCCAAAGGCTACAAGGTAAGCACAGATTGGAAGAGGAAAAGCAAATCAGGCAAAGCATTCCCCTCTCTTGCCCCGTAACGCTGAGAACAGCTGGAATGTGCTTTACTCTGTGCCTGACTGGTCCCATATTTATGGTATGGCCTATGTTAGCAGGCTGAAAGATCCCAGTTGTTTGTCCAGTATCTGTGTGGTCAGCTCAGTTTTCACAGCTGCAGAGCACTGCAGGCAAGCAGCAGAATCTGCTCTTGTGGGGCTTTGCAGATTTGCATCCCCACTGATCTCCCTTGAATTCACATCTATACTCTGCTACTATGTTGCTGGCACAACAAACTAAATTATGATGCTCCCTCCAGAAAAGCATGTGATATTTTTGTTCAAGTCCAGAGTTTACTGAGCAGCTCTAGTACTTTTAAATCCGTAGATTGGAACTGCCATTAATTTGCATTATTAAAGACAGTAGTTTGGACTGCTTGTAATAGATTTACTTAAAGGGAAAAAAGGCTTTCTATAAAGTTCATTATCAAATCACTAGAATTATTGACACTTTAGGAAGGCTGTGCTGTGAAATAATTGTTAGTATATTTTTAACCACTGTATTTTTTCTTCTAACAATCTCATCCTAAGGGAAGGTTAGACTCATCTTTGAAGATGGCTTGGGACTGGTGGACTTTCATCTTTCAAACAGAACTTGCATTTTACTTATTTCTGAAGCAGATCTGGTTGCAGGGGATGAATTCAAACGAAGATTGGTTAGGTTTAGAAATGTAAGTGCTATATAAAGTGAAAAGTTTTCATGAGATACTTGTTTATTCCATGCTTCTGAAAACATTCTTCTTGTGTTATTTTTAAAAATTCCATTGAAGATGACCTTGTGGGATAATTTTCACCTGGAAACAGAAAAATTCTGCAGCTGTATTAAACCTCTGTCCTGTTGCTGCAACTTATATGTTCTTCCTCTGATTCGCTATTAGGCAGCTCATACTTGAAGGAATTTGTCTCTGTTACGTTGCATTAACTTGTCATTAACATTAAACCGTTGTCCTGTTGCTGCAACTTATGCTCTTCCTCTGATTTGCTATTAGGCAGCTCATACTTAAGGAATTTGTCTCTGTTACGTTGCATTAACTTGTTTTTTTCTAATATCTTTTTCATTTCAATACAGGCCAGCAGTCTTAGGGGAATTGTAATCGTAGAGAAAACCCCAATCAGTGATCAGTACTACCTAGGAGTACAAAAACTTGTTGTACTTGAACTTGGGATGGTGTTGCTTCCTGTGGCAAATCAAGGAGAAGCTTCTCAGCTTATTATTCAACTAGTAAGTTTCTGCATTAACAAGGTTTTTTCTAATATCTTTTTCCTTTCAATACAGGCCAGCAGTCTTAGGGGAATTGTAATCGTAGAGAAAACCCAAATCAGTGATCAGTACTACCTAGGAGTACAAAAACTTGTTGTACTTGAACTTGGGATGGTGTTGCTTCCTGTGGCAAATCAAGGAGAAGCTTCTCAGCTTATTATTCAACTAGTAAGTTTCTGTGTTATATTAAAATATGAGATATAAAGCAAAGCAGGTAGATCTCCCCAATGATCATTTCAGAGAGAATACATAGGATCTTAAAGGAGCACAACATCATTTGAATGTAAGGAATAAATCTTCTGCAACAGTGATACAGTGGTGTAGTTCAGTGGAAAGAAGGCTCATTTGGGAACAAAGAAAAAAGGCTGAAGGCTGAAAAAGGCCGATATGATCCTGCATTTTTAAATGTAATCTTCTATGAGGTGCCTCTAGTTAGCATTAGGCAAATGTCACTGTCAAAATCAGCTCGAGATTTTGCTTTCTCTAAGACTAGGGAAACTTTTAAAATTGGTTCTTGTTTCCGTTTCTCTGACTGCATCACAAAGATGACAGAAATACTTGTTTTCATTTGTTGTTGCTATTGAGAAATTGTTTCTTAGTAAGGCTTTGTCGAGCTGCACCCCGCAAGGGAGCACACCCAAGCAGGGCGCTTGTACCTCCAGCTTCCCTTCCGAGCTGCGCAGGGACGAGGCCGAGCAAGCGCGGCCGCGGGGTGCCGCTGACGGCTCTCTTCGGCCGCAGGTGCGGGAGCGGAGCAGGGATCGCGGTGCCGACCCCTTCCTTGGCAGGCAGCGCGGCCGGCTGGCCGAGCCCGCCGTGCTGCAGGCCGTGCAGCACATCCCCGGCGTCGGCAAAACAAAAGCTCTGCTCTTGCTGCAGCGCTTCGGGAGCATCCAGCGCCTTTGTAACGCAGACATCCGGGAGCTCGAGCGAGCAGTGGGACAAACAGGAGCGCAGCAGATTTATACTTTTTTACATTCCTGATGTGCACGTGTATTTTGCAAAACGAACATTTGGGATTTTTCTTCTGAATTATAAAAGTTTGGTTTTAATAACCACAATTTTTTTTCTGATTTCTGTAATCATGGCTACCAGCAACTGGACTCCGATGCTTCTTTTTTACATCTGCTCTGTTCATATAGATTAAGCTGTGCAAATTGCCTTGGAAAGAAGTCTGTATTTTGCATCCATGTAGAACAAATAAAAACCAAGAAAGCTGTGTTTTTCAGCATCTGTGTTAAAAAATGGGAGAGCAATCTGCTTGCTTACTTTGGACTTCAAGAAAAAAAACACCATATGAATGTGCATAGTAACTTCTCAGTAACTGGAAATATGTTACATGTGTTCAAAAAGTTTGCATATATTGCTTTATAGCAACATCTTTTGGTTTATAATTTTTGGAGTTCCTTTGGAAAGTCCTACTGGAATACAGATTTGACTTCACACTAACTTATTTCTCTGGTCACCCCTCCATTTCGTGAAGCATTAACAAATTCATTCCCATGTGTCTGATATCCAAAATATCGGTTAATTCATGTTGTCCATCTGAATATAGGTTGGCATACTAAAAATAAAGTGCAAAATATTTTGATAAATTATAACTTCTAATATGTTAATTTTACTATCAATCATACTATTATATACACTACAAAGAAATAATATGGGAAGCTTTGAACAAAATTCCTAATTCATACTATTCTTCCAGTATTAATATTTTGAAAATCTATTTGTAAAGAAGATTGATTTTCCTGACATCTTGCATTTTAAGTTATATTTTTATCCTATTTTCTAAGGGTAAAATTGCCTTTTTCCTTGAGGAGGTGTGTGAAAATCATCTCTCATACCACTTGGGAGTTTGGACCACAGCAGGAAGGCAGCAGAGTATGATTTTCCACTCCCTGTTGAGGGAGCCTTGGCACCTCTGAAAGCCCTCTCTTACCCTGGCTAGCATGGACAGCAGGTGGACCTGCTATTTACACTGATTCTGTACTTGGGATGAAAATTTGTCTGTAACTTAAGACATAATTATTTCATTTAGTGAATAATAAACATCAGAATTTCCAAAAGTACAGGAAAGTACAGTACTAGGTTTTTTTTTAGGCAACTAGGGAGTACTTTAAGCTTCTTTATACATGGATTTGCTCAGAGTTTATTCTCCTAAGGTTTTGTCACTCTGCTATGAAGACTGGATTTCACATCTAAAGGCACGTGGCTGTTGTGTTGCAAGACAAACACCTCTTCCCTATGGCAAATGGCCATCTGCCCAGTGCATTAAACACAGTTCAGCTGAAGGAGTAACAATTAATATTAGTGGAGTTACAGGCTGTACTACTAATCCACTGCTAACCTTCCTTTTTAGGGCTTTACAGCAGCCTGATACATCCTTGTGGGTAGACACTTGGAACAAGAATTCCTGTGGCCCGAGCAAGAACATAAGGCACTCACTCCTTTCACTGCTAGTTAAGTCAGCTTTGGCTACTACTCAGTGTAGAATGACTCTTCAGTTAGCTGACAGAAAACCAAGAGTGTTTGTCTGGCACCTGAGAGCTCCACATTTTGACTTGAATTGAGGGGTGTGTTTTAAATTGAAAATGCCAAGCTTGCCTCAAGGACCAAGTGAGTGTGATGACGGGAAGGGAAAGACAATTATTCAGGAGCTAGGAGGGAAAGTATTTCCAGGAAGAGTATCAGAGTGGTTTCAGAGAAATGAAGAACAGCACGGGTGATTGCTGGGACTTTGCTGAAGTTTTAGGTACCTGGATAGCAATTTCAGCACACAGGCAAAGTAGATCTCATCTGTATGGAATACTGGGAGGCAGGGCTGTGCAGATCAGGGTCTGGCTGCTGCTCTTTGTGTGTGTAAAAGAAGCACTACTCCCAATACACCTAAAGAGTAATTGCTAAGAATAGGCAAGTCATAAGAAATTTACAACTTATTTTTTTATGTAACCTTTACAGGGAAACTAGAAATATATTTACACTCTTTGTAATGAAGTTGGTTTTAAACTCTTAGTTGATATTGCACAATACAGGAACTTTTCTTAAAAGTTTCTTAGATCTCTGTGAGCAACATTAGAGAAACACACAAGAGGTATGGCACCAGTAAATAGCAAAAACCTGTAAATTATGCTTTATCATGCAAGCTGAAGCAGAATTAAAAAGCTACTAGTAAATGGCAGCATCTGATTTTTATTCTTAAATAAGGGTCATCAAGATATTTACACCTACTACATAAGAAATTAAAAACAAATGACAACTTTAAAGTTTACACCAAGATGCAGATTTTTGTGTAAATTTTAAGTATCTATCTACTCTGTAGATGGCAAAGTTAACTAACACTACAGTGTTAGCAATTTTCAATTAATTTAAGGAAATAATAGAAGAATCTCAAAGAAATGCTCACCAGTTATTTTTTGTCCCCCTCCTTACTATAGATACAGCTTGCTCATTAATTTTTCCAAGGGCAGATTCTTTTGTTTGATGTGATAGTAAATAAATACCCTGCCACTTAGCACAAGTACTTCTTTTATCACATTTTAAAGCATCACTGCAATTTATGTGCCCTTGAATCAATATATTACAATACATCCATTTTGAGATTTGTTTCACAGCTATCAATTTTATCAACACAAGTGAGATACGAGTCTTAGGGCAAATAGGTCAAATAAAGTTTGGAATAAAGCCTGTTTTTAACAACTGAATCAACAGGCATTTAAAATGTCACCTAAATCAGAAAAAGAAGAGAGTAAAAGCCTTTTGGAGTTCAAAAGACCTTTTAAATGTTAAGCCTTGTAATTCTATTCCAGAACTAAATTACCTGTTCAGTAGGCCACACCTAGTACTGAGGAAGCAGCTCTGCATAAAAACACAACTCTGTGACACTGTTGCTTGGCACAAGACTTGTTTCTCTGAATATTATTATTCCCTCTCACCTGTGGTTTATTAAGATAATTCTCCAAAGTAGTGTTAAGTGATTTATTATTGACTCTGAACTTTAAGAGCAAAATCATTCTTCAATTTGTCCCCTATTATTTTGCATTCAGCATCAAGTTTGTAACAAATAACTCCCATCTAGCATAGTTATGACTATTTTTATGAAAAATCAGTCGTAACTGTAATTTGAAACCCCAAAGGAGTCCAGTCCTCATGTAAGCAATTCTATAATCTACATCTTGTTATTGCATACCTCCCAAACAACTTCATTCTGACCTTCAAATACTTCAGTTTCGCAGTTTCTGCCAGCTTCTGACCATAAGTGGCTCAATGCACAGCAAATGAAGTCACCAGTATTTGTCTGAGTTTATACATACGTATGCGAAGAGAAAATTGATCAGTATTTTATCTACATTTTAAACAAAAGTCACATTAACAGATACTTCTGAAAGATTCAGTACAATGAACTTTCTGTATTGAAAAGTGTGAAGGGAGAAAGCTTCTTCTTATTCTGAGAACTTCCAGCCACAGCTGAAGGAAGGCAGAGTGTACTTGCAGCTTTCTGTCTGTTTTTAGTTCCCCAACTTAGAAAAGGGAATTTTAGTGGGGCTTTCTTGGTCTGATCCATTTTATCCTCGTCCATGGCTAAACAAATTAAGGAGTATGTCTTCTGCATTCCCATAGAGTAAGTTGCACTCTTGTGCTGTGGGAAAAAGAGAACCATGGTAAGAATCAGTCATCCAAAATGGGTCAAAATTTTGACAATAACAAAAGGTTCCTGTGCAAACAGTTTTCCAGGGTGGACTGCAGCAAGCTTTCTGTGCTAATGACATCACTGAGCACAAGGCCCTTCAGAGTGCTGTGACCCTGGCATTTTGCACATGTAGACTCAAAGGTATACCCTGCAAAGCATAAAGGAACTTGTGAATCTTTTCCTGGGTTGTTAAACATTTACTAGCTTCTAGGATTACTATTTAATATACACACTAACCTCCCTACAAAGCTCAAGTGTGTAATTCCTGCACAGATGTGAAGGGGAGTACTTTTGCTGTCTTTGGACAGTATTCTATACTGTATTCAGTTGTTCTATACAGATCACAACTACAGGAGCTCCTGTGTGACATTCTCCTGGGATACCTGAAAGGCACAGCCTTCTCTGTCTCCTCTTAGCTTTGCCCTGAAACAATTTGATTCAATTCTAGCCTTTTCTTTCCAGCTGCAACTTGGAATGGCAGATGCACAATTCCTTATGTTCAATAAGGAAAACAAATTTTACCAAAACAAGAAAACCTAACAGCAGCAGGGGCACCTTAATAACTTCTCAGGCAACATTACTCGAGTGTCTAAGCTTGCCAGGGAATGTTAAAAACATGAAGCAGTGGATTCAGCTGAACTACAGGTTCTTTCACACAACTAGTAAGTTATTTAGAGCTTAATATTTTTTAATCTTGTGATGACTGTCCCTTAGTCTAAAGCTTCTATAGCTTTACTAGACAGTTAAAAGTTCACCAAAATAAGAAAAATACATAAAATAATCCATGATCTAATACAAAAGTCACAGATCATTTACAACAACAGTGCATAGAAAATAAACTTGTGGTCTTAGATGTTGTATTTCATTCCATTATTGTTTCATTGTGGTTTTTCCACTGATGAAGAGGGTCATGCCTTCATCCTCTGGGACAAGATGGGGCATAAACTAGGTCTTGAAATTTTTCATGCAATTAATCTAAGTAGCTGCACTACCAAAAAGCCCACCACCCTCCCAACCATTCTTATGCAGACAGACTGCTTTAGTTTGTTAGGTCACAATGGTTTAAACAGATGGTTCAAAACTGAACCCATCTGAAGGCTTTATATATTCACAGGCTGAGTGGGATATCTGACTACAGGAAAGTAAACATTAATCAGGAACTGAAGGCAGGCAAGTGACAAAACTCTAGCATATCAAACCTGGCAATATGCTATTGCCATCTTTATTTTGTCTTTGAGAAGTTTTTAAAACCAGCACTCATAGTTTCCTACTGCATCCAAAGAGGAAAATGTAGTATGAGGTGGACTAAGGTAGAAAAATAAATAGCAGTCAAATGGAGTTAACAACACAATCTAGTACAAGAGTTGGGCTCAAGAAACAGTTACTGTAGTTTTCCCCCATATAATTTTAACTTTTCAAGTTTCCCCATTTTTTCTAGCTCACAAGATAGTCACCAAAAAAAGCTGGATTCTAACTAACCACCATTGTTATCTACCCCACAAAACAGTGTTGCTAGAGACAGAAATACTGTAAAACAGTTCTAACAAAATAATATACTGACCAAAATATATTGATCTGTGACTGAGAAAACATGTAAGAAATCAGAACTTGTGGAATAGGTTTTACAGTGACCTCTGTGAGCCAAAGAGAAATTTGAAAAGAGGATCCATGTTTCCCTCTGAAAGAATTTCCTACCAAGCTGTTGACAGAGAAACCAAGAAAGAAGGATAAATAAGAGAAACCTGTAGCTGTCTATTCCAATGAGCACTTTGTCTCTTCTGACCAATGAGTAAAGTGTAAACTTATGAGCTTTGTAAGAATGTATAAAAAGCATGCATGCTAGAATAAAAACAGGTTTGAAGCCTTCTGAAAATGGAGTGTCGCTTTCTATTGTCTCCATCTCAACTACAACAGGAACTCTACAAATGTACAGTATATATTCTACATTATTTATGTTCTGTATGGAATATATCTATATACAAATTAAAGGCCAATCCACACGAAACCGTATTTGCCTACGGTTGGATATCCTTTATTTCCAGCTGTGTACACTTACGGAGTATATCTGGAGCCTGAAGCAGACTTAGGAAGTCATCTTCTGTCTCTTGCTGAGCATATTTGAGAAGTGAACGTTTATGTGCAGCTGTCAGAACCTCCTGGAGAGCCTCAATGTTGCGAAGCTTTTTGCAGAGCCCACAGACCCTGAGAGCCTCTTCGTGGTAAACAATGGCTTTGCGTAAATGCGCTTTCCCTGGAAACATTAAAAGCCACTGCTTGTCATCCACAGACAATAAATACCACATAATTTTCAAACTGTAGCTAGGAGCTGTGTGAAAGTGGCAGTTACCTAATTGTTTTCTCTGAACTTTGTCCTTTAAAACAGCAAGAACCATCAGCCCTTCAGGCACACAGTCATACAGCTGGGACAAGGCTTTCTCCTGCTGATCTTCATCATCACCAGGCTGCACTGCAATAATGGGTAAAAAACATTAACCATACACTTCTCTTGGTCCCCTGTTCCTTTAGGTGTACTATTGTGAATTATTATTGAGAATTATTACATTCTCTCCCAATGCAGTAAAATATTTATATACGTGTATATAAATAGATGAATAAGAATTTCAAGTTTTTGCGTTTATCATCTACAATATGCAAGTAATACTTACATGCCAAAAATATTGATAAAATCTGAACTATTTAGTAGTAGTATATAAAGGATATATAACTTTTGTTTCTGTGAAAGTTAGTTTACTGAATTTTCACATTTTTCTCAAAAGACAAAAAGAGCATGGCCTCTTATTTGAGTGGGGAAAATTACCACAATTTAACATATATTAAAGCACCAAAGTTCTTGGCTCCAAGATTTATTCACAGACCAAATTATAACTGTAGCTGTGTTTATTATTTTTATTTATATGAACATATAAAGAAGTATGATTCTTACACTCATGGTCACACAGAATGGTGGCAGTGAAGTAATGTGCCAGAGCTTTGTAATGGTCTGACTTTATTTGTGCCAGCTTAGACCAGGAATAGGGAATATTCTCTTTCACTGGTTCCTGATTCATTGCAGTGTTAACCAGCATGTAAACCTCTCCCACCTAAAATAAAGCAAACAATTGAAGTATTAGAACTTAGTATGAGGTATTAGGAACTCAAGTAAGGGGTGTCATATTCACGCTTAAGATAATTTCATACACAATCACATCAAAGAAGGGGAAAATATGGTTAAAATGGATTGGAATTCAGTTTAGAGAAAATTTTGAAATGTCTTCTCTGATTTTTCCCTCGCAAGAAATCAATTTTGTACAAGAACAGATGGACTATGTCAGTCATGCTATATGGCTTCATAGTTAAATAAAAACACCATATAATAAACAGGTCTTAATTTACAAATATAGCTCATTAATTCAGTTGAAAAAAAGAGTGAAGCATAATCAAACAGTAGGTTTTTGCTACACTTTGAAACTGAAATAGCCTTAAGTTTGTGTAGTCTAGTTAAAACTGGGACATTATAATTTACACAGAGGAAATGAAATAGTTTTATTTATTCAAATAGTTGGGGTTTTTTTTTCAAGCGGTGAATGCTGCTTTAGTGGATCAAACTACTCCAACTGACAGAATCAAAAAATCTTTCCCCTGCAGCTGATCAATCCTACAGATATGTCACAGTGGCTTTACAGGGTTGGTATGAAAGGCTTTGCCTGTTTTTCTTATATGGAACCACTTTTGTGTCTGCTACTCTGAAACAACTGAGAAAGCACAGGAATATCTTCATGGCATACTTATTTTTTGGTACATACCTCAACCAAGTATTAACACTACCTTCTGGGGCAAGCCAATCACACCAATTTCTGGCAAGTTCCAAGACAGCTCTGCAGGTACCAATCTGACTCTGTAAAGGTCCCTCCCTCAGTTACAATTTAGCTATTTTTTTGGGATTAATACAAAAGATTTGTGGGTTTGCATACCCTTCAGCAGCTAGGAAACAAGGACAGGCTGTGTTCAGTACTTAACAGGGAACCACACAAACACCCTGTGACCTTTTATATATACAGTTCTGTAGATGAAAATCGTATGTTTAAAAGACCAACATAAATAGCTTGTTAAAAACCTTCAGCCTGTTTCTGTTCATCTCCATGAACTATGAATTAAATAAACTGTAACAACTCTAAAATAATATTTAAATTTTGTTCACGTTTTACTCTTCTGAAAGGTTGTGCTTTTAACTAGTTTGTGAGCTACCCTGTGTTATTTTTGGTTTCCAGTAATGGTTGTTAACATTTAAATGTAATAAACATTAATATTATATAATATTATATATAATAGTATGCATATAATAATAGTAGTAAATATATATTATATTAGTTAATATTACTAAAAGCTGTAGATAGTAACACAGCACTGCCAACAGTTCTTTTGAAGACTAGATTTAAAGTCCCATATTTTACCTTGGCAACTTCCTGTGTCATTTTCACTAGTGTGAAAAATTCATTGCGTATTCCAGAAAGGCCAATCTGCTCAAAAACACACTCTTGAGCTTGTGCAAGCATCATTTTCACCAGTACATTCAGCATAGCTGGGCTCATGTCATAACTTGGTGTGTGAGTAAAGGTCTCCTTTAAGTAGCTTAGAACTCCTGCAATTACAAAATGGTTTTGTCAGCATTACAAAGATAAACAAGTGAACTTAATTCTAGTATGTACCCCAATAATTAGGATTTAAAGGATATTTTCTCGTCTTGCACTACAGCAATCTGAAGGAATTCTTGGTGCATAAGAAGTCAGACTGACCTACAGGTTTTGCCTTGCATTGCCATCAACCATCCCCAAGCACAGCTGTCAAAATTACATTTCTGAGGAGCAACAGAAACTGCAAGTTTTGAGGGCACTGCCTTCAGATTTGCTTGTAAAAGTTCTTGTGATTCACCATAAGACTGCTGAACTGAATGTGACTTATACATGGGAGAGGCAGGCTACGGCTTATACAGGGGACAAAAAAGAGAAAAATCTGCACAGCTATGAGGAGATGATAAAAGGAAAAGACATAAACATAGAAAATTAAATATTAATCTTCTTTTCAGATGCTGCTCAGTGCATTGTGTGTCCCAATGAAAGCTCTGATCCATGCCTGTCAACTAGAATTTTTATTTATAGATATATAAATATAAATAGACTTAATAGGGTAAACATAAGATCGTTCTGTAGACATTTGGTTCCACCAAAACACTAGTAATTTCTATCATATATCAAATCTAAAGCAAACACTACCTGTAGTGCAATAGTAAGTAACAGTTTCATGGATGGAAGCATAACCCTCAGCAGGCATGTCAGACTGGTTTAGTGAGTTCTCCTAGCTCGCTAATGCTGACAGGCCTGCAGAAGTGTAACAGTAAGGCCTCTGCCTTCTAATATTCCAGCTTCTGTAATCTCACTTCTTGCCACCACACTTAGTTCTGGCCATGTTGTGCTGTATTTTCCCACTGAACAGTGTCTGTGATTTTTGATTTTCCATGTTACACTCATATCTGAATTTTTAATATGCCATTAAACATAAAATGTGAAACATGGCCATCCCTACCTTTTTGCACTAAAAAAATTAATCCCAAATTTACCAGGCATATCCCAAGTATGGATGGAGTGCCTACTGAAAGGGACTGAAAGCACAGGAGGAAAAAAACATGGTATTTTTTGTTCTCAACATATTTCTGCTTATGTTGAGGACAAATTCTGTGCAACATCTTCCATTCAGCACTGGGAAACAGACTCTGTATCATGTCTCTGCCAACAAAATGAAGTGTTACTGCACCATGCACAGGTACATTGAAATGCCTCCTGAGCATGTTGCTTTGGGCCCCTGCAAAGGTAACTGTGGTAGCAAATAACACCTTTCCAGTTTTGCATTAATTCTGTTCTGCAAACATGCTGAAGTGAAAATCAGTGATTTTTTTTTTTATTTGCAAAATGGAAGGAGCAGCAGTAAAATGGAGAAATTTCCCAAGTACTGAAATTTCTTTTAGATGAAATACAAAGGTTGAAAAAGAATTTATTTATTTATTTTAAATATACATGAAGAAATACTTCACTTTTTTTTTTTTGATAGCTATGCATTCAAAGGAGGGAATTTATGAAAATTCAACTCTGTGCTCCACAGCTTTTAGTTGATAAAGCTACCAATACAATGCAAACCAATAGTCACAGATGTTAGTACAGAAATAAATCTTACAGTGCATATTAATTACAAAGCACGTCTTTAAATACTACATGTAGCACAAATGATACTTACAAAGCAAATCAGAAAATCTATTTAAAAGCCCCCAATGAAAACAAAAGACTTCATAACATGTTAGTTCAAGGAAAAGGATTCCCTTTATTAGAACTTCTATTTTTCCTTGCTTGGGACAGAAATTTATTATTTTGAACATGTTTGCCTTTGGAATCTACGGAAAACAGGTAGTCAACTTCCAATGAACTGCAACTTTCACCAGAGGAAAAAGTAAGAGTAATTTTTAAGACCCTCATATGGAAAACTAGGCTTAAGGGTTTTTATCAAAAGTGTCTATTGTCTCTTGTACAGATTTGACACCAAGCTGCCAGCACTGAGGTATAAGTTATGCTGGTGAAGCAAGGAATGAAGCAGTTAATGCTACTGCAGTAACTCTGACCTTTGAACTGCAGTTCAATAATCATTAACCACAGCATTCACTATCTTATCTGCATGTTCAGACTGCACTTCCAGGTTTTAAAGCTTCATCTGAGCTCTTCACCAGGCTTCCTCAATGTCCCTATTCCTTGTTTTCTGTGTAATCAGGCCAGTAGAAAATGCAGAAATCTCTATGACATCAGAATGAGATTGGAGACATTTGTGTGAAGACCTTTCCAGTATTTTCAGATGTGTACCTGCAGCTTTCTGAAAAGCATCAACAGCATTTTCAAGTCCAGCCTGGGTCTGACGATTGCATCTTGTTCCAATCTGGGTGTAGAGAGCTCCAATGTTGAATAAAACACTGGCTTTTTCAAGCAACAGATTTTGCTGACACACTGGGACACCTGTGAAGGAATCATACCTTGGGAAACAAATATTAGAAGAAGTGTTAAGATTATCAGAGTCCATTAAAAACAAGTACTTTCATTCTGTTTTTCTGAATGAGTATTGGAATTATTAACTGTTCTGCTACAGTGAAAATGAAGGGGAACAGAAACACCATTATATTCTACAAGGATAATCCACAGAATTAACCAATCCAGGGAACAGCTTTATTTGAAACAGTTTTCAGCAGGTTTTACAGCAGTGCCTCCATAAGCTCATTACATTTAAGTCAGAAGTGCCCCAAAAACATCACAGAGATGGAGAGCATACTGGGGCAGTATCCAAATGTGCTGCTACACTCTCCTACTTAGGTGCTGCCAAAGATCAACTGGCATGGTCAGATCCTCTACTGCTTGTGTTTAAAGTTTCTATTTGCAGTTCTCACTAGAAATTTAACAGTTCTTCTTGGCTACATGGAAGTCACCTTTTTTACAAAAAATAAAAATTTTGAATTCAGAGTCAAATTTTGCTCACAGATATAGTAAATACTCCCTTATAAAAAAATAAATTGCTCCTTTCTCTCTTCTGGCCCAAGTGGTCTTCTTAACAAATTGAAGGAGAGGAATTAAGGTCTGACCCCATTCCTTGTCCTCATTTTGTACACCTAGATTCAGAATTCAGAAACATCTGCAGCTGTCCAAAATGAAGATTATTTCCTCTCTTTCACCCTTGTACTAACCTGTAGCCCAAATAATAATCTAGCCAATGGTTTCACTCTAAGCATGTAAAGAGTGTACTGTATTCGGGTTTACTCTTAACTTTAAAAAAAATAATTTGACAACACACTGCAGGGATTCGAGGGGAGACACACACTGACATACTTCAGATTAAAAAACAGTTAATGATTAACCAACGTTCTGGGGGAAAAAAAGACTAAAGAGAAACATGAACTACACACTTACCATGTAAATAGAACTCCAATGTGCCTGGTGGGTGGGAAAAATCTGTTTTCTACATAACCAAGTTGCAGGAAATAGCTTATCAACATCTCAATGCCAGCTTCATCTCGGCTAGGAGTCCGGCAGGCCTTGAAAAACAACAGATTAAAATTGACTGCATTCTGTTGAGTTACAAGGTGAGTACTGAAACCCCAAGGATAAAGCTCTGCTTCCTTTGGACTTCTGCATATCACAGAAATGTGTGGAATCTGAGAACAGTAAGCTTAAAGCCATGTGGATTCATGCCAAAAGTTTTTCAGCTGCACACAAGTAGCACACAACCTTTAAAAAAGCAAACAGAATCTGTTTGGCAAGTCTCAAAGTTAATTAAATAAAGATTGTAGGTATTTCATGAAAGCTAGAGAAGGCTTATATTTCTAGCATAGTACAGGAAACAAACAACAGTCAGAAATACCAACCTTTCTACTACAATATTTTGCCAGGTTAATCCATGTTAACACTCTCCCTGCTCTATTTAAAATACTTTAAAATAAAAAATAGTCTTTGATTAACAAAGTTTACAAAGTTACATCAATAGATCAATCATTTTGCAGAACTTCATCTGTTTCTTCACTCTTTTTTCACTCAGATTGTAAAGCTCTTGGACAATGGACATTCATGCACCATGTCTTAGAAATTAAGTCAATAAGAGTATAGTAAGCTCTAAGTAAAAATATCATATTTTGGTTCCATACAAGTGTTATTTACAAGGGTATATTAAAAGACCCCCCTAGTATACCATACTTGAACTTACTTGTCTCAGATCCATGAGATCTGCTATTTCATCTTCATACTCTGAACTGTCTTGACTATAATGTTCCAGAATAAAGTCCTAAAAGAGAAATATATATATATAATTGGAACATCTAAAATTAGCCTAAACTGGTTTTTTATGCAGTTACAAACAGCACAAAATTGATTCAGTTGTGATTTGAACAGGGTCTACTCCCTTTCAGTGAACATGTAACAATGAGACTACAGTAAGACACTAGATTTATGATTTGGTATCTTAGACAAATTTCACTGTGATGTAAAGGAACCAAACATCTGCTACATTAGCCCCAGTTGGTTTTAAAACAACAACACTCAGTGGTTTTGAAACGGACAAACCCCGCTATCTAAAATGACAAGGGGATCAAGTGACTATAAAAACTTGTTAACAGAAAGAAACTGCCAACTTCTTGTGAGCTACACTAGGGCAATTCCATTTAAAATAACAAAACTGTAATGACATGAAGTGGTGCCATGATCTGACCATGGAATTTAACCCACAGAAGTAAAAATAGAGACAAATGCTACAATGATACAAGATGGTTTACTGTGAGATAAAAATGTGTATTGCACAATACACAGAAGTATAGAAAATACAGAGGATGGTTCAAGCAGCCAGCAAAGTACACTAGACAACAAACAAGCAGAGTTAATGCTGCAACACTGCTTCCCAACTGAGCTGTCCTGGTTAGAGTAAGTTGGTGTATCACTACATTATGCTGAGTAAAACCTTCATTACTACTTCCTCTCACACATCAGTAATCAATACTCTTATTAGAAACAAAATCATAGAAGGAATTTTTATTCTTTGGTTTAACTCTGTCTTCAAAATGGAATTTCTTATAACATTTTTTGGACTTCTTGTCCTAATTAGGTAGGAGCAATGACCCAAATCAGTGGTAGTTAATTTTTAACATGTCATGATCTTGATCTTAGGGCAAAACAAAAAAATAATTTGTACCTAAATTACGTCTATTTCTTTAAATAAATTTGAAATGGAAGCTATTACTGTTAACTATTAATTCTGAAATGTGTATGTAAAATTTACCTTGAGGGGGAGTGTAAAGTCTACATCTTTGGTTTCCTTTAGGCCAAGAGGTACCAAGGGAATACTGAAAGTCTCTCTATGGAAAAAAAGCAACAATAATCACATTTTTTTTCTGCTTCTAATTACTTTTTTAATTTGATGACAGGAAGTTCATACATAGATGGGGTAAAGAGAAAAGTATACAGTTCTCTCCTGCACAAGAAAATCTGCCTAATAGCCTGCACTTCTCAAGAAGAGAGTGAAGAAAGCTACTTGCCTGCCTGTTTGTTTTTTTGTTTTTTTTTTTTCATTTAAGTCTATTTTTCTTTCAGGCAAAGGAAAGGAAACTCTTAAACTAATTCCTCAAATTTAGAGGAAACTCTAAATTGCTGCCTTCCAGCAATTTAGCTCCACAGCTGCTAGGAGATCTGGCCACAGTAAGAGCATATTAAGTATTAGTAGATATAATCAGTATTTTACATGCTACCAATGGTTTTGTATGTAGTTGTTATGTGTGCAACATGGGGAGAAGCAGGGCCAAAGCTTTCACAGAGAAAGGTCTAGGAGTAGCAAGTCCAAGAACTACTTAGCTTCTAGACAATGCTAGGTGTTTACCTCCAGACAAGTCAACCTCTAGAATATCACAATTCAATGATTGAATAAGGCAATAAGGATGAGAGCTGACTTTAAAAAAGGTCAGAATTGCTTCCAGATACATGGTTGGTTGTGTAGATTTAACAGATCAGTAAAAGCAATTATAAAGTTCATCTAATATTTTTGTTTTTCCTGAAAACAACTTTTTAGTTGTCTAATCATTATTTAGAGCATTCCATTACCAACTAGAAAACCCCACGTTCATTTATGGTCTTGTCAGCAAAACCAGCTTTCTTACCGGTGATAATTCTATCTTTAGAGAGTGGCAGTAGGAATGCAGTTTCCTAAGCAGAGCAAGAGTCCTGCATAAAGCAAAAAGTGGCTCTGCCAGCTTGAAAAGGACTTCCAGGATACAGAGCCAAAAGACCATTTCAAGTGGTGCAAATGATCTGATTTCTGATGAGGCTTTTAAAAGAAACCTCAACACTTTTACTACAGATTTTATCAAGACTTTGTCCTCAAAAGGAAGTGAGACATGTGGGAAAAAAATCCTAACTTAGTGATTTAATCCATTCTAGTACCATTCACATTCCCTGGAGGTAACAGCATTGGCCATTCAAAGAAAGTGAACTTAATTTTTTTGCCACAGCTAAGGTGCCACACCCATGGAGCTAACATCATGAGAGGACTGAACAGTTAGGGAGGTGATCCTGGATTTCCAGAAGTGAGCAGAAATAGCATCACCCTTCTCAATCAAGCTGAAATGTGTGCAAGTACTGGGAGGACCAAGCCTTACATTGTTTTAACACAATACAGGCTAATCCAGTAAACCATGGGTGCGACCTTATGTTAACAACTGCATGCACAATAGTCAGAACAACTATTAATAGCTACTTACAGTTAAAGGCTGGTGAGCAGTTAGAGGAAAATTAATTATTTTAGCTGATGAAACATGAAAAGCATTTAGAGCTTAAGAATAAGAAAGGCAAAACACAATCTATTCAAAACAGATTGGGAAAGTAGAATCAGGAGAGAATAACAAGGATATTGCTGTCCAGCCTCAAGGCTTCTGCCCGCCTTGGGGTCTGATCTACTGCTCATCCTTCAGTGAGAATCTACATATTTTTAATATTCTTTAGCTAGAAGAAGAAACAGTTCCTGTTGAGGAACTGCTCTCATTTCCACAGCCATAACTGCTCTCTGTGCTCACATGCATCTATGAAGACCTGTAAAATCTTGAACAAGAAACCCAAATCTCAAAAAAAAGACCAACCAAAAAACCCCAAAATATTTTCACATCAAATAGTTGTCAGAGTTTGCCATGGGGGTGGAGGGTAAGAAGTTTAGCACAAGTTGCTGTTTGAGAAAACTACAAAATAGATATTTTGCATCAAGTCAGCCTTCAGCTGGAAGTTACCACCCTGGAAATGTGCTTCTTCCTTTTACATTAATAATTCCTTGTAATCCACCTGGAAGTTTAACACCTAATTGAGAACAGTGCTAAGAGAGACCCAAAATTACACCCCCATCACATGAAGCATTTCAATTTGTACCTTGAGCTGCTGTTGATCAAATAGTAAATATTTTAGTTTTAGGAGGAACAAGACACATAACTGATACAGAAATCATTTCAGTATGCAGGCAATGAATATTCCTTAACTTTGAAGTTTTATCTTTGAGGAAAATCCATTGCAATTTAAAAATTAGTGTGCTCTTCAAAGTGGAGAAAAATATCTTGGAAAAAATCCAACTTCATCTACTAAAAATTCCTCTGCTTTAGCCAAGGCATTTGTGTTTTTCTGTCACTGAAGGGCACACATTCAAGATTACCTAGTCTGCTCTAAACATCAGATCAGCATTGTGTTTCTGTTCTCCAGCTATAGAGAGGACTGTTGAATGCACCACATTTGAGAAGAGATATTACCATATGGCTAAGTTTGCTCACTCCAGAATGCACTGAGCCATTCCAGTACTGGAAATTCTGCTAAGTGCCAACTGCTTGCAGTATAGCCCCAAGAGCTTTCAATTTCTCTCCTCTCTTCAAAGGAACTTCACATCCAAGGATTAGTGGCACACACATTTCCCAAGAGAAGGACAAATATGCAGACTAACCCTTAGTCAACAAATCTACCATCAAGTATGTTCTCTTCCTATCAAGCTCTCTGCCCTTTCACATGATTAGTGTCCAACATTCACACTCACCTAGAAACAATTTTGTTTTCAAGGGTAAACAGAAGATCTGTTAATAATTGAATAACTTAGCTTTATACTTACTCTGCATTTTGATAAACTTCTACTGAGATATTAAGTCCTTCCAATTCTTCCTTTAAGATCTGCAGGTCTGAGTTTACAAAACTGAGTTCCAGTAGTACTTGCTCTCGTACTTTGTTGTTGGTGGTTGCTCTGCAGAGACATATCAATTTTTTATTGCTCAGGAAAAGGTTTTCTGCAAGCTTTGTTGACCCCCTTCGACCTCCAATGCAAGCATTCCCAGCATTTTTAAGATTTCTTTTTATCTCCTTAAGAGATGATACAAGACCTCATGTTTCAGAATTTATTAGGTTTTTCTGTCAAGAGAGTGCCTGGAATAGTTTCCAGATAATAGCATGCAGCCACAGAAGATTTCCTATATGCCAGATTTTCCATGTATGATTAAGGGTCAAGCTTATTTTCAGATACATTAATCAACAAAACTAAAGCACATCTTAATCAGAATCACTGTCCTGTTTTCAGATTATGTGATTTTTCTTTCCCTATGTAGAAGATAGGTGGGTGGAGGTGGGAGGAGTCAGGAGATATTCTTCAACAGAGACTTCCCCACCTTATAAATTGAATAAAGCTCTGTTAAGATTTCTGATCTTAAGAATAAAAGAAAATAACTGTCCCCAAAAGTTATTACAGAAAGAAATATCTTTCAACCAGATCTTTTTAATACAAGACAATTTTCTCTACAATTTGATTTTGTTGGATGTAAATATAATTTTGTTTGTTTCCTTTGCCATTTATGTATTTAAATGGCAACACTTTGAAGTGGAAGCACAATGGATGCTAGCATTTAACCCCCCAGAGCATTTCTGTGTGATTACTTATTTGTGTATTTGTATCACAATTTCTAACCTGAGTCTCCATACTGACAATTTCATTAGAATTTTACTCTTCTCAAGATACTTAATTCACCTGTATCTATAAATCCACAGGTATGAGGTTAAGGTAAAAGGTATCCATGCTTAAGATACTGTACCCTTATGTTAGAGTCTGAATCAGAAGACAATAACAAACTTAAATTTGCAGCATTTTGCATTTACCTTTATTTTAATTCACTTTCATAAATATTTATTAACAACCATCTCATAAATCTAGGCTCCACTTGGAGCAGTTCTCCAGTTTTATGGTGCACCTTGATGAAAAACGAATTATTCCAAAACTAAAATTCTAAGTTTATTTTTCATATTATAAAGGAGTTATCTGTGATTTTTCTATGCTGTACTTTATTGAATGCCTTGGATTGCTTAAATTAAGCCATGTTAACATCTGTTGCCTTGATAAACCAAACTAGAGACAAACATATGGTGGGGTGGATCTTCCTTGATAAAGACAGCACCACACAGACAAATGGGCAAGTTTTGATGCTATGAGCACTTTAATTGTGATGTATTAAGGCTCCATGCTTGGTCTAGCTTACCATCCTCCACAGGAGGGATTCAACATCTTTTTCAGAAACCCCAAAACTCCATCCAAATTGACTTCTCTATTAGCTCTATGGCTATGAACATCCATGTCAATTTAATCTGATTACCTTTTCATGTTTTTTACACTGTAGACATACTTTTGAGTAACAACCAGTGAAAGACAGCTAGTGGGGCAATGTGATATTGTCGAGATTCACATAATTCTGCACTGAATTTAATTTTAGCTCAACTTCCAGAGCAGAAGACAATAAAAAGGAGAGGGTGACTTTTAGAAAGTCTAAGAACAAAAGTCTTTGCACTATGTGGATCGTGTGCTTCAAGCCTAGTGCTTACTTTCAGCCAAAAGTAAAGGAACCTGCATTTCCAGTTTTTTCTCAAATTCTACTCCAGGAGGCTTCTTGTGGACAGCAATTGGTTTGTTTCTTTTAGAACTTGATGAAATTCAAATAGAATCTGCAAACATAAAGCTTGTTTACATTTTTCCTTAGGAGACTGTAGATACAACTAATCATGTGAACTGTCTGGTGGTCAGGTTATTTTTAAAATTGCTTATTTGAAAGAAGTAACAAGTTTTAATAGTTCAACAGATGTAAATTCATTTTAGATTTCTATAATCTTAAAAGTAAATCTGTTCTTCTACTTTAAGTAGATTTAGTTCCCACTCCTGTAAATAGCAACTTCAGTATTTCAGCAGTTAATATTGGCATCAGAAACTGCACTTTAGGATATCTAGGTTAAAGGTTACCAGTTTTCATATTAGATATTACTTAGCCCTTCCAAAACATCCTGAATCAACAGGCAGAAACATTAACTGGATGAAGTATTCCACTTCAAAAGCAGGTACAATAATTTTGCTAACCATACAAAAAGCAATGAAATTGTAAGTCTCACTCCTTAAGTCAATTACCAGAAAACATAACACACTTCAGAGGCTAAAATTACCTCAGTTTCCAACCTGTCAGATCTCTTGCAAGAGTGGAGATAAAAGCAGGTAACAGACAACAGGCAACCCACTGATTAATGACAAGCTTAGAAATTCTAATTTATCCAAGCATTTTCACTTCTTTAAGTATATTTACTAGTTTTACTTTTTGAAGGCCCATTATTGCTCCAGTTAGCAGAGAAAAAGAAACTACTGCAGATGAGAATTTGGATAATTTTCAGTTCTTCTGTGTTGCTCCAGTTAGCAGAGAAAAAGACACTACAGGAAACTACTGCAGATGAGAATTTGGATAATTTTCAGTTCTTCTGTGTAGATTTCTAATCTACAGACTGTTTGCCAAAGAGCTGATCACAGGATGTAACAGCCTTAAGGCAGGGTCAACATAAGGCCATTCCTATGGGGACAGCCATATGAAAACATACCCTAACAAAATGTAACAGATGAAGTTACCTCAAACTGTGGGAGAATTTGGTGGCAGCTGGTGGTAACCCAGCTCAAATTAGATGTGTGCTACCCTGCTACTCCTGCATCATTATTACAGAGAGTAAAGCAGGCAATGGATGGTCCTTTCTATGATGCAGTACAGAGCTAAAGAATCTTGGAAAAAGCCAACAGTATAGTGGCAATACCTTTATTTGATTTGAGGAGTAAAAGGGACTCGTTACAATACTCAGCAAGGTTCACTTGTCATTATCACTAGCAATAAAGCAGAACAAAGAGAGCAACCTAAGAAAGTCTAACATTTGGCTCATTTACTACAACACAGTACTGAAAGGGCACTTGAAAGCACACAATGACTCTGTAGAGCTATAACTTCAAAAAAATTCAGGGAGATTCACAAATCATTCTACAGTAAGACATGCAGCATGTCTGGGGAAAAAAAGGAGAAAATACAATAGCTAAGAGACTTCTACAAAATTAAAAGTAAATTAAAGAATTTTTGCTTGGTCAAGAAAACTAAGAAACCATGACATATACCTTAAAAGATTTTCAGCACCAGCTCTCATTCTCACTGCTCTTAAGATCTGTTGGTTTAGAACAGCTCTTTGATTTTGCAATTTGCTTCGTCCAGTCTCAGCAAGAGGATTGCATCCCTGGAATTAAGAAAACAAGTTTTTTGTTGGCGTTGGAAGAAACTTCAGAGGGACTAACATGGAATTTAAATGAACTTTAAATGTTCATTTAAATTCAATGGTAAAGGCACAGGTTCTGTAGGAATACAAATTAGCTACCTTGACATCAGTGATGATCTGACATCAACAGTATTTCTTGTCTCAAAGTTGGTAATGAAAATCAAAAAGAGACCATGACCACAGTACATTTTAACATCAAAATTCAAACAAAAAATATCTGTTTTAAATCTTAAGTACACATGTGAGCCATCTCTTCTCCCCTAAAAATATTTTCAAGGTATTTTGCAAATGCAACCAAATTTGACAGAATGTTATTAACTAGGATTTTATGAAAACAGTATCTGGCAAGACAGCAACTCCCATCAAAGATTCTGCTTAACCCTTGTGGATCAGAGTTCCATACTGGGATATATGCATCCTTGAAATACAACTCTGTCCAAAACAGGCTGTGGTACTCAAAGTTTGGGGCTCAAAAGCCTGCTCCCAGTTTTAGGATCTCTGATCTTTCCTTCTGGTGGCTCAGACCTTCAGTACAATTCCTCCCCCTCCTTCCCTAGGCTCCTCTCTTCACATCTCAAACTTACCAAAAGAGAGCTTAACAGGGTGAAATGATTATACTGTCAGACTCTTATCAAATTAGGCTCTTAAAGAGTAAAGTGTGAAATCCAGAATTCACAAGAATGCTCCCTTGTATGTGCATACCTTACACAAGTACAAGACCCAAACTGCTAAAACCTGTGTTTGAGCAGGACTGAGCCATTGTATTCTGAGCACTGATAAGCTAAAACTGCTACAGATGAATAGGACTGCATGTTTGTCCTTTTTTGTATAAGGGAAACACGATTTTAACACCTTTTTAAAGTATGTTAGAAATTTCCCTTCCACAATTTATTCTTTGCCCCTGCCACCCCTTTTAAAAAAGTAGCAAATGCCTTTGAATCTCAATATTCAAGAGTCTGCCAGCACATCCCTGCAGACTCAACTAATAATTCTGAAGCAAATAGAATCACTGTTTTAAGGCTTACCCTTAAATGAAAAATGTCCTTTTGAGTGGCCTCACTGGGTATGATTACAAAGCTTATCAGAGTCCTACTGTATTGTCTGCTACACAAGAAGGAGGCTCAGACCTCTCTAAGTCTTCTTTCAACTACTCTAGCCACTAAATCATGCACTATTTTGGACCTCTCCCTCTTAGTTTTGACTAGAAAAATTTGATTTTGTTGTAAGAGCATTTGAAAGTTTATTAACAAGCTCTAATTATGAGTGGTCAAGCAATGACATACCAGCAAAACAAAAGTGAGTATTTAAACAGAACATGAAATTCTGATCAGGTATTTGAAGTTCAAATCATGTACTTGTTGTCAAGTGAAAGCAAATTGACTTGACAACAGAGAAATGAGCTGATCAAACTAGAGCAGATTACTCTAGTACAACTGAGAAGGCAATAATATTCATTTAGCTCAATTAAATTAATCCAAATAATATTAATTTTACATATCTAGTTTGAAAAGCTTGTAATATATAGATAAAATGACAGGAAGCTTGTGCAAACATCCTCAGAAGCACCATTTGCCACATAACTTCAAAAAACACACCACACTGATTACTGCATTGACATGTTTCTGCATTGAAATACCACTCACAGCACGAGTCCACAGCTCTCTTCATTGAGAAAGCTCTCACAGCAAGCTGGACACATTGTGTTGGGTTGGCACAGCCTAGTTTTTTAGCAGTGGGGAGGGCCGCAGAAATGGCTTCTGTGACAAGCTGCTGGAAGCTTCCACCACGTCTGACAGTGCCAATCTCCGATGGCTCTGGAGATGGACACGCTGCTGGCTCAGTCAGAGAGTCTGGCAACGCCTCTGTGATGCCACATTTAAGAAGAAAATCAAAACAGTTCACACCTTTTTCCCAGGGGTAGTGAGGTGTCGTGGCCGCCGCCATCTCGGTGCGGCCTGAGTCGAGCCCTGCCCGCCAGGCCGCCCCTGGCCAGCCGTGCTGCGGGAGGGAGGGCAGGGCAGTGGAGCTCCTGGCACCCTGCTTGGGGACAGGGTTAAACAATGCCAGTGCCACGGCATGCCCCACTGCCCGTGCAGGCCAGCAGGGCTGCCTAGCCAGCAGAAGAAACATAGAGAGCAATTCTTTGACGCAGAACCTGGACAAAATCAACCTCCTGGTGCTCCGAGATCCTGCAGGAATCTTTGAGTTGGTGGAACTTGTTGGCAATGGCACCTATGAGCAGCAGTTTTTCTTCTAGTCAGAGAAGAGGAGGAAGTGAGGGCATGTGAGGGAAAACAACATGGCAGCACCAAGGTCGGTGGGAAAGAAAGAGAGGGAGGAGGTTTTCAAGTGTCAGAGCTGAGATTCCTCTGCCAGCCGTGGTGAGGACCATGGTGAAACAAACTGTCCCCCTGTAATGCATGAAGTGCACAGGGGATGCAGAGATCCACTGGCAGCCCGTGGGAAAAGTGCTCAAGCTAGAGCAGATGGATGGACAGAAAGCTGAGATCCAGTGGGAGACCAAAATAGAGAGAGGGCCCTGCTGCCAGAGACAGAGAGCCCTTGCTCCCAAACTAGAGCAGCCTGTCTTTAGAGAACTGCACCCTGTGGATGAATGACCCACATCACAACAGTTCTGGGAAGACTGTTGCCCGTGGGAGGGACCCCATGGCATAGCAGAAGAAAGACTCTCCCTGAGTGAACAGAAAAAGATCTCAAGTAATGAACTGAGCAAAACCACCATGCCCTGTCTCCCTGCACTGTCGGTGGGAAGGAGGGAGGTGCTGTGGGGAAAAAAGGTGTTTTAAAGGCTTATTTTACTCCTCATTATGCTGCTCTGATTCTGTTAATACTAAATTTACTTCATACCTTTAAATTTGAACCTGTTGTGCCCTTAGGGCGTTTTCTCCCAGTCCTCATCTCAACTCATGAACCCTTAGTTAATTTCCCTTTTTTTTCCTCCCTCTCCTCTGCCCAGCTGAGAGCAAAAGAAGATGAGCAAATGAGACTTTCGTGGGTGTTTGGCCAGTGTCAAACCATGACACACATAGAAGATGAACTTTTTACTGGAGAGAATACACACATTCATTCACCTCAGATTAGATGCAGTCCTTTAACTACCAAATACTTTACGCTCCTTTACACACAATTATGCACAAAGACATAAGCAATGCACACTTTAGTGCATAACATGGTCTTGTAGCCACAAGCTGCTGTCTGGTCTTAGTCTGGTTCTTTTTCTGGGATGAAGCTGTTCTTTCCCACTTTGTTTTTCCTTTATTTTGTGTTGTATAGCCTTTCCTGCTACTGCTATTCAAAGTTTTATCTCCTTCCATTCTATCCATGCCATTTTTCATTTGAACCTCACAAATTATTTGCTCTTGCATTCATTTTGACTATTCAATTCTCATCTCAGGCCTGTTATCTCCATATTTGTGCACAGATATTTCCTTCCAACTTCTTTCTTGACCACTTAGTTCAATCATCCTTCTAAAATGTATCCTTGCCTTGCCCTTCATTTTTTCTGTAAAGCTGCAGCTTTCTTCCAGAACTCCCTGACCCTTTCTGTGTGCCAAACAGGTTTGATGACATCATTCAAATACTTTTTTATAGCTTCACTTGAGAAATTTTTCAGTAAGATCAAGTGCCTGATTCCCAAGCCCATGAAGTTCGTAGATGTGATCTCTTCATTATAATGAACTTTTGATCAAGCTCCCACTGAACAATGAGTACAAAACTGCAGTGATCTGAAACTCTCTGCAAAGAGAAAAAGCGCAAGAGACGTCTCCCTCCATTTCAGGTCCCCAGGCACTACTGTCTGTAGGGAGGAAAACCAGCCCTGGGCCCTGACAGGACAAGGCACTGACAGACCAAGGTATCTGCATAACCTCCAGTGTGCCTGCAAGAGTGACAGTTTTGATAAGAGGATTCTTATGCATAGAGCAGTCTGTTTTCAGGACATGCCCACCTGTTCAAGCATATGGCTCCCATTAACTTCACCTAAAGCCTACAAGGAATTAATATTTCACTTTTTGGAAAATGTTGCTCTTTACATCTCCTGCACAGGGGATGAAGACACTCAGCTAGTTTGTGTTCATTTGCAGGTTTAAACTCTTAAATGTAATCAAACTGCCATAAAACTGATGGATAGTGTGGGAAATGGATTTATAGACAATTCTCCAAGCCTGACAGAAAGCTCACATGCTGTGCATCTGTATGCAAACTTTGAGATAAGGAATGCTGACTCAGAAATGCCATGGAATAGGACAGACTTTGTTGAGGGAGAAATGGAATTAGAAACAAGTGTCAAAAGATAACCTTACAAATAAGGCTGGACACTTTAGAGAAATAGAACTACGAAAAATGCATTATAGTAAGACCCATGGGAAGTAATTTTCGATTATTTGCTTTAAAGCATTTACAGCATGGTGTAGCAAAAACTAATAAGCCAAGAAACCAATAAATATCCTAATAACCAAGAAACCAATAAGCCAATGTATTGTAATTAAGAAATAGTTAACTTCTGATTGTGATGGTGTGAATTACAACACCTGTATTATCTCACCCTTCACATGAAACTAAAAATATAATAAAAGTTTTTAAAATGCCTCTCAGCTACCCCATCTCTAAATCCAAAAATAGCTTCATCTGACAAAGGTAGAAGTCTGCATAGACACCAGTGAAAATAACTAGTATCTGAAAAAAAAACCCTCAAGAAATTGTGTCTGGGAAAGATACCCCCTTGTGTAAAGCACAAATTCTGTGTAGTAAAAAGTTATTCAGCAAACAGGTCCTAGCAAGTGCTTAGTTTTGTCTTCCTCCCTGTACAAGATCCCTTTCCCAAGCAGCATTTCTACATAGTTCACATCAGAAGTACAGTCATGATGAATGCAAAAATTATGACTGTTTGCCAAACAATGAGTAATGGCAGTAAGTATTCAAAATTAACATAAATATGCTTT